GGGGGGGGGGGGGAGGGGAGTTTAGATTTTTACGTTTTTTTTACGTATTTTGGTTTTTTTTGCGCTGTTTATGTATTCTGGTTTATTTAATTTTTGCGTTTGTTTCAATTTCTCGTCTTCTGCATTTTTTTCGTTTTTTCTATTTTTTCTTTGTATACTTAATGCTTGATCTTGGTGTTGCAGGCTGTTCCTGATTCCTCGTCCTTCTGCCTCTTGTGCTGGAACTCCTATCGCTGCTGTAGCTGCCTGTATCAGAGGACACTCAAGCAAGGCAAGTTAAATTTCTACGTTGCTTTTTCCTAAGCCTGTTAAATTTCTGTTTTTATTACTGTTTATTTATTTTGATTTCTGTTTGCACCGCATGTGCTGTTTCCATTTTTTTTTTTCTGTTTTGGCTATTTTTTTTACACAATTTGTTTTGACTGTTTTTTTTATTTTTTAACGTTTATTTGGCGTTCTTTCTGTTTTTTACTACTTTTTCCACTATTTTTTTGCGCTTTTTAAAGGTAAATTTTGACCGCAGTGCTGTTTGCATCTTTTACTGATTTTATTCTTTTTTTTTCAGGTTATTTTATCGACAGTGGAACTGCCGCGGTAATGATCAACGACGGGTCGCTGTGCGCTTCGCCTCCGCTGCTCACTGGGTAAGTTTGCCTGTCTTTCACTTTTATTTTCAATTTTTTAACAATTATTTATATCCCTTGTTTAATTTTGTTTTTATCATTAATTTATTTTCATTTTTTTTCAACTGAGTTTTTGATTTTTTTTTTCGCTTTTCTTTTCATAATTTTTTGATAGATAATTTTGTATGCTGTTCAGATTTGGCTATTTTTTTAAAGTCTTTTTTAATTTTGTTAGTACCAGTTCTGAGCCTTTTTTTTTGCGTGTTTTTCGTTGTTGGTTGTTTTCGCAATTCTTGTGTTTTCTGCGTTTTTTGTCTGTTTTTTCCATGCCTAATTTTACTGTTGCAGGAAGTCCTTGGTTTTTGAGTCTTCTGCTCCTCCTGATATTCCTATCGCCGTCGTTACACAATTGTCGATAACCGGAAATGTCAGGTGGAAACCTTAAGCAATTTTTTTTGTTTTTTTCTACATCTTTCTCAGTTCTTTTTTTAAGGTCTTCTGATCGAATTGTTTTGTTCCTTTTTTTTTCTTGATTGAATTTTTGCCTACGCCGGTCTTTTAATAAATTTTCCTTGCTTATGCTTTCCCTTCTTTTCTTTTTGCGTTTCTTTATTGTTTTTGAGTCATTTTTTCGCGTTTTATCGTTTTTTGCGTTCTTCTTTGCCTCTTTTTTATGCTTAATTTTACCTTTGCAGGGTTATTTCGGTTTTCTTCTTCTCCTGCTCTTTATGCTCGAACTTTTGGTGCTGCTACAGCCGCTGTTACACCCAAGAAAGGTAAGTGGAAATTTAGTTAAGTCGTTTTCTTGCTTTTTTTCTTTAATTCTTACATTTTCCTCTGCCTTTTCTTATTCCTTTACTTTACACAGCTCCTGTTATTTTTCTTTTTAAATTCGTTTTCTAGATTCCGCTTTGGCAGCTAGGCGGAAGACCTTTGTTACTAATGTTCAGGACGGCTAGTTGAACTTGTTTCTGCTGCAGCCGCCGTTATTTTAACCCGGACCCATCTATCTGTAAGCGCTTGTCAATATTTTTTGCACTTCTTTCATCTCAGCCTTTTCACATTTCCATTTTCAAGCTTTCTTTTTCAATTCTCTTTTTCACTTATTTTTATTTTTTTCTTTCTACTTTTCCACCCTCCCAGCTTTTTTTTTATTTTTTTATTTTTTTCTTTTTTTTTTTTGATAATGCTCACAGTTTACAACAATTTTTGTTTAATTTTTTTTTTTAATTCATTTCTTATTTTCAGCCTGCTCTATGAGTCGTTCTACCTTCTTTGGCAATTAGTTTACAGTGAGGTTATGCGGAACAAGTGATTCTTTGAACAGTTTGGTTAGTGTTCTGTGACGCTTACCTCCAGCGAAATATCCTCTGTCAAAAAGAAATAATCAGTCAGTCATCATATAGAGGACGGCTGAGCGCGTCTCGCGTTTCCCAAGGTGGACGGTTAATTCTCACCGGTACTCTGCTGCTACTGCTGTAGAGCTGATGTACTGCTGATGACTCGCGGTTTACCTTGTCATTTGTTCTACACGTGATTTCTCGCTTGGCTGGTTGGATGGCTGTGTACTTTTTTTTTGCTTTTTTTCCCGATTTCGTTCATGTATATTTTTGTTATTAGCTGAGATTTCTTTACTTCGCTGATTTACTTTCCTTTTAATGTGTCTCGCTGTTTTCCTCGTTTCTTCTTGTTTTTTAATATATAATTTTCGCTATTGTCGGTTTTTGAATTCTTGCTTTTTTCTGCTTTTTCATAAGTAATTGTACTACAGTTTTCAGTTTTTGCATTTTTTGCAAATCTCATTTCTACTTTTTTTTGAAGTTTGCATTGCTTTCTTCTTTCTCATTTTATTTAAATATCCATGTTTCCGTTTTAGTGGCTTTCTTTACTTTTCTTTTTTGTCGTTATGCGATGATTTTTTGGCTTTTTACTTTTTGATTTTTTGATGGTGTACGCGCGTTTTTATAATATACTTTTTTTTCTATTATTGTCATATTCTAATTTCTGTCCTGTGTTTTTTGGTTTTTTAAATACTTTTCGATTACTTGCATTTTCTTTCTATTAATTTACCTTTTCCCTCTTCAGGTCTACGTCATCTTCAGCGTGGCTGTGGTGGCCGTTGGTGACCGACGGTATTTTTTGTGCACTACATATATTTTTTTGTCTTTTGATTTTATTATTCACTTCTCATAGTTATTTTTGTTTCTGATTTATTTGTCGTTCCGTACTTGTATTTTAGTTACCATTCTGCCTCTTTCGTTTCTTTCTCATTTTTTTCTTCTGCGTTTTTTAAATATGTTTTTAATTTTTTTATTTCTCGTTTCTGTTTTTTGATCTTTTTCTTTTGTGTAGATTCGTTTTTTTTTCATTTCTATTTATTCACCTTTATTCTGTTTTTTGGTTTTTTAAAATTTTTGTAGATATTTGTTTTTAGATAAATCTTCTCGACTTTTTTGGCTTTAATTTTTCTGCGTCTCTCCAATCTTATTCTTTTTTGTAATTTCTATTTTCTTTTGATTCTTCTTTTCGTCCATTTCTTTTTGATTATTTCTTATTTAATTTTTCTACGTTTTTTCTCTTCTTTTTGCTTTTTATTTGCCTTAGGCTTTTTTTGGTTTTTTTTTATATTGTTCTTTTCTATTTTTTGTTTGTAATTTTTATGCATTTTTTCCTTCCTTTCCGATTACCCTTTTGTTTTATGAAATTCTCTTTAATATTTTTTTTGCGCATTTTTTTTCGTTTTATTTTTTGATTTTTCTCCGTTTTTCCCCCTTTCTTTTGTACAGTTTCTTCCTTTTCTTTTGGTTTTTTTACGCATTTCTTTTTCACTTTTTTTCTTTTTTGATTTCTTCGTTTTTTCTCTTTTTTT